GAAGAAAAACTAGTGCTAGTGCTAGTGCTTCTCATATCCTGGGGAGTACAAAAGGAGCGTTCAAGGGGACTTGACAAACAGTTGGAGGGTGCAAGAGTTGATGGTGCCGCTTTTTATGAATTAGCTCATAGATTAAAGTTAAGTGAAGGCATTGACATCAAAATGTCTCAAATTTCTTTGTAAGCCCTCAAAGAAAAGAACCCCAAATGACAAAGCAAAGACTTCACCCACTTTTCCATCACCCCTTATTAAACTATTGGTTGAGTGATTGTGTTGAGCTCTCAGCAACCGACACTTGTGCATGCAAGAATCCCCACACACCTATATATATTTATTCCAACTATTCCTTTCTTTTTCCGTTCTTTCATCTTTATCTTTATTCAGGCCACATGCGTAGAACCAACTCATGACCTTGTCATGGGCCCCATCTTTCGGCCACATGTAATCAGTGTACTACTGCCCATAAAGCCCTTCCACCATCCACATTCTTACTCGTAGCTTCTGAATTTTAGCCGTTGGTGCCTAAATATCGGGTTCCTCCTCAACTTATCTCCATTTACTAAATTATCCACCTTCTTCATTTCGCTTTCAATCTCTTAATATTATATAAATAAATAATTTCATATGATAGGTTACAATTCAATTAAATAAAATTATCTTAAGGTGTCTCCCAAAATATATTAGTATATAACTAAGAGGATATTTGTAATGACTATTTGTGTCCCCTATATATATATAATATCTGCTAGAATTGGATCATCAATCTTCTTATGATATGTACTATTTGTGTGTTTACCACTATCTGTATAAGCATGAAATTTTATCGACAGATTAAATGATGCATTGTGATTTGTACGAAAAGTGAATGTAATTGCTATCATTATCTTTTGTGGTTCAACTGATATTAATTGTTGAATAACTTAAAATATAGTATATACTTATCTAAACATAAAATAGGAGTAGGTGTTATAGGTATTATAGTATTTTCACTGGTTTTAAGTTTTGACTGCACTGCTCAGAAAAGTTATGTGGAACTATTCAATTAATTTAGCAATTTGTAATTTCATTTAAGAACTATAAAAATGTTGTGACAAGACACAGATCAAGTGCAATAAATTGAAGGGAAATTTTCGTTCCTATACTATATAGGAAATTATATTACCAAATATGTTTATAGTTTGCATATTACCCTTCATGCTAATAGTATTTCTATAAAATATAGACCATGCATTAAATAAGGAATCATTGTAGCTGTAGGCTTCCTTATTTAGGCGCTAAAATTGGGGGATTAAATATTCTTCCAGATCTTCCAAACGCAAATCACGCACATTAATCTTCTTCGTCAGTTTCGTTTCAAATTTAGTGTCTCTACATCAAACACAATTATTCTTCTACAATTCAAAAACGAATTAATTATTCTTCTACAATTCACAAATCAAAAACGACTAAATCTTCTACAGTTCTTCTACATCAAACGCAATTATCTCCAAATTTCAGTAATACAAAGCAAAGAAAAAGAGAGCAACAATTTCACCATTGACAACCATTAAAAAGCTTGAAAGCTTTGAATTCAAATTTGGGTTTTCAAAAATCATTATTTGTTTGGATTGGGTGTTGTTGAAAATAATTGGGTATATGATTTGGAGTTTATATCTCAATTTTGAGGGGTTTTGGTGAATATTAGACTTTTGACTGAATTTCAGATTGAAACTCGAAGAAGAAGAAGACGTATATTGCAGAAATTATAGAAAAATTGTAGATAAATTGAAGAACAATTGTAGAATGTTGTTTATTTATTTTTCTTTTATTCATTTACTTATTGTATGAAAGTTGAACAACATTGTATAAAAATTATATTTGAGTGGATGATTTAGTACTGTTTTGGACAAAAATATGTATCAAAAATGTGAAACATACATTTCAGGGGAAGCATGTTGAGTCCAAATATGTATCCAGTTTGTAGATATTTTGTAGATAAATTGTAGATTATTTGTATTCTGATTGTAGGTGCTTTATTTTCTGTTTTCACAAATAAAAAAATGACTAAAACTTCTATAAATCTTCTGAAAAAACGCAATTATGTCAAAAATCCCAATTATGCTACAATTGAATGGGAATTGAGATATTAAAATTCAATGTACCCAGTTTGTAGATATTTTATAGATAAATTGTAGATTATTTGTATTCTGATTGTAGATGCGTTGTTTTCTGTTTTCATAAATCAAAAACGACTAAAACTTCTACAAATCTTCTGCAAAAAACGCAATTATGTCGAAAATCCCGATTATGCTACAATTCTTTGATTCTCCTATATGCTCTTGTTACTCCTTACGAAACCGCTATGCTAAATATGGAATCCAAAAAAACATGATGAAGGGATAGATCTTCTTAAGAAATTTTTTAGATAATTTATAGAAACATTGAAATTCTGTATTTTCATACTAATTTTTCAAATGGTATGTAGTTTTGTTGTAGATTAAATGTAGAAAATAAGCCATTGTGAGTCTTATTTGACTCATTCCTCACATTCAACCTATTCTACAAATTCACGCCTCTTTAAATACAATACAACCATACTTTCTCGAATTTAAAGTTTTAGCAATATATACAACTTAAAAAACATCTTCTCCTCTGCACAAGTTAGCTCCAAAACAGACGAAGTAGAATAACAAGCTCCCATCAAAACTTTTAACACAAAAACACAAAGCTCAAAAATAAATAAACAATAGTTTACAAATTTTCTACAATTTATCTACAATTTTTCTATAATTTCTGCAATATACGTCTTCTTCTTCTTCTTCTTCTTCGAATTTCAATCTGAAATTCAGGCAAAACCAAGTCTAATCTTCACCAAAATCCCTCAAAATTGAGATATAAACTCCAACCCATATTCCCAATTATTTACAACGACACCCAATCCAAACAAATAATGATTTTTGAAAACCCAAATTTAAATTCAAAGCTTCAAAGCTTTTTAATGACTGTCAATGGTGGAATTGCTGCTCTCTTTTCTTTTCCTCTTATATTACTGAAGGAACCCGAAATCATAACCATCAAAAGTTATTGCTGTGTATGAAACTTTGAAGATTTGACTTCAATTTTGACTGGTTGTAGAAGAAAAAACCTTGATTTTGGACGTTAATGGTAGAGGGTTTCAATTGTTTTTCTGGATTTAGCAGAAGGTTTCAATTGTTTTTCTGGTTTTTCTGGTTTTTGGGTGTGTAGTGATACGTGGGTGAGGGTGTGGGGTTGGGAGAGAGAAACGTGGGGGGATGGGGATTTGGAGGAATATACGGTACCATAAATTTAGGAGTGATATAAGGTACAATTAATGTACAGTTAAAACACCTTATAGTATAGAATTGGTAATTAGGTATACTAAATGTAATTATATCAAACCTTAACCATTGAGGGTAATATAGTTTCCTACATGGCATAGGAATGTAAAAATTCCTAAATTGAATAGATATATTATATTTCCTTGCAAGAATAATTTAATTAGCTAAAATATCAAATTAAATTGTCACGAACAGTACGTAGAATTGCAGTTTAATAACGGAGTTATTTGGTATCTATAACAACAACAATAACAAGTCCAGTGAAATTTTACAAATGGGATTTGGGGAAGATAAACTGTATGCAAACATTACCCCTGCCAAATGACGGTAGAAAGGTTATTTCCGAAAGACCCTCGGCTCAAAAGAAGTGAAAATGAAGCAATAAACAGACAGTAGCAACAATAAGGTAATTAGACATGGGCGCAAATAGAGATGCGTGCAACAACAAATATCTAAGAACACGACACTATCAAAATAGAGTCAGTCTTGCTGGAAATAATGACACAATGTGAAATAGCAAGGGGCTAGGAATAACAAAATACAAGACTAGTACTAATACTACATGTAACGTGATGGCTGGACGAAATTCTAGATTGATTGTCAACCCACAACCCTAATCCTCGATCTCCACACCTTCCTATCGAGGGTCGTATCCTCAGAAAGCTGAAGTAGCGCCATGTTCTGCCTATATCACCCCACCCCAGTACTTCTTAGGCCTCGCTCTACCCCTCCTTTGACCAACCATGGTCAACCTCTCACACCTTCTAACCGGGGCATCAAGGTCTCTCCTTTTCACATGTCCGAACCATCTCAGCCTCGATTCTCGCAACTTATCTTCTATAGGAGCCACGCCCACCTTGTCCTTAATATACTCGTTCCTAATCTTATCTCCCCTGGTATGCTCACACATCCATCTTAACATCCTTATTTCCGCTACTTTCAACTTCTGGACATGAGATTTCTTTACTGGCCAACACTCGGCTCCACACAACATGGCCGGTCTAATACTACCACTTTATAGAACTTGCCATTAAGTCTAGGTGGCACATTCTTGTCACACAAAAATGATCAGAAGCGAACCTCCATTTCATCCATCCCGCTCGAATACGGTGTGCGACATCCTCGTCGATCTCCCCCTTACCTGTATCATAGACCCAAGATATTTAAAACTATCTTTCCTGGGGATGACTTATGTATCCAGCTTCACGTCCGCTTCTGCTTCATGAGCACCAACACTAAACTTATACTTAACGTACTCTGTCTTCGTTCTGCTCAATCCTTTAGACTCCAAGAATTGTCTCCATACCTCTAGCCCAGCATTAACTCCACAACACGTCTCATCAATTATTTAGTATCTATGTTAATAGAAAATAGCAAATACCTAATGGAATAATTGAAAAATAGTTGTTTGGTGAACTAATACAATCATGAAAAATAGTTGAACTCACAATTCATAGGTCTTAATATTCTCTATCCGTTTCATATCATGCCATTCCAGCTCCATGCAGTATTCTATACAATAGTCGAAAAATTGGAATAAATATAAGGGTAGTGGCATTTTGTTATTCAACTCATTTAGGAGGGTAATTCTGTAATAGTCTCGTCGGACCTGTGCTGAAATTTAAAATACGACTAATGGACATTTCGAATCCGGAGTTCTACTAACGTATCAAAAAGCTCAGTGGCTGAACTTCCAATGTTGTGATATACGAAGAGGCAAAGAGCACAAGCTCCCATACCAAATAGTACTGACCAAATATCTTCTTAACGTACAAAGAGTAAATATAGATCTAGCTTAGGCCTTCAGATAAATTTCTCACAAATTAGAACCTCAGGGTTCAATCACTGTACATTTTCTGGGGTTATCAGGTAAATCTCGTTTCGTATTTTCTTAATAACTGAATTCGTATCAACTTTTTTCTAATGGTTTTTTTCTTTTTAGCTTTCGGGTTAGTCATTTTTCTTGTGATTATTTTGATTTTTTCTGAATTTTGTTTTTGGTCCTGTTGATAGATCTGAAGAAACTGAAGAGTGAAGTGGTGATCGTTGATAGGTATACGTACAAGTATATGTGCGAGTAAGCATTGACACTGTTTTACTAGATCTTCAGGTTTTTGGGATAAAGTAGTGAGGTTGAATCGGTTGTTTAATTCAGAAATGGAGACACTTGTTATTGTTGCTCAGCATAAGAATCAGTACTATGATAGAACCAGGGGTCAATCCCATGCTCGATTTAGGCATTTTGGTTCACCTCCTTCTGTTGGTTTTAAGGAGATTAATTGCCGGACTTTTGATTCAGGTGCCGGTATACTTCCTACTCCATTGAGATCCTACTCCACACCAAAAAAATCAACCCCAAGTAGTGCAATTACAATACCAATTAACATTAAAGTAGGTGCTGAATCTACAAAGGGGGAGTCTTTGAATGATGAATTTGCTTATTCTGAACTTTGGGCTGGGCCAGCTTATTCAAATTCACCTCCACCTAGTTCTTTGCCTATGCCCAAATTTTCTCTCAAGCCTAAAAGGACTGTTTCCCTTGAGTTGCCTGTTTCACCCTCTGATATTGATTTGCCTCCCTTGGCTAAATCTGCACCTGCTTCCCCGACCCGTGAGCGCAGCCCATCTCCGGGGGTTTTATTTGATACTACTGACTCTGCGACACAGACTCTTCGTCGCATTCTCAATCTTGAAATATAGATTGATGAATGTGTGAGGAGGGGTTAGTGAAGAATGTATAAATAAGGCAGTTATCTAGTTTGCAAGTTGGTTTCTAAGTAGGCTGTATATAGGTGAATAATAAATCAGTCTTTAGCTTGACTTGATATTAGTTGCTTAGCTTTTGTTGTGGTGGAACTGGAGAGCAGCTTTGTTTCAATGGTGGATGGGCTACAATAGTTATAGTCTTTTGGTGGTTTAGGTTGTATGAGATGAACAATGGCAGGTTGATCAACATTTCCTGGTAGATTCAAGGATGATTAGTCTTATAAGCAGAGTGGGTTAACTTCAGTAGTGGTGCAACAACATGGAGGCGTGTTCATGTAGAGGTCATTGGGCAGACAAATCTTGGTATTGCGGTATTTGGTATATTTGGCAGTTCTTTGCTGAGCCTTCAGAATTGGTTGCTCAATTATCTTTAGTGCTCTGGTTGATCACATTACCTGTGATATCAAATTCTTGTTCTTGATTATACTCTTCTTAATAGTTTGTTCATTCCTTGTTGTTTCTTCATAATCAGTTAGCTTTTGACTTTGTCAAACTGATGTACATATACTAGAGCTCTGATCAGATTAGGTGGACAGCTTTCTTTCAGACTTTTGTTTTATATACTGACTAAATTCTTGGCCCTCTGATCTTGAATTTAGGATCCTTCCCTCTATTACTTTGCAATTCAATAGCAGACACTTCTCCTGTATAGAGTATTGGGTATCTCTTGCTCCTTACAAAACCATGATGCCTGAATTGGCTGGTCAGCGTTCATTTCATCTGTGTTCCTTGTCATTTGTTTTCCTTAACCTTGAATAGGATCTAACTCATACTTTCCCCTCTCTAAGTTGTGTTTTCCCCTTCACCATTTTCTGTTTTTTGGAATGAAAATTGGTAAGTGGGACGTAAAAGTTAGTTATATCCTTTTCTTTTCCTGCTCTTGGGTAAGTTGCCTATTGAGCTTTCCTCTTGTGAAGTCTAATTAGGGTCTCCTCTGTGGTTGTTCCACTTGTTTCTCTGCTAAAAGTTCCATTCTGCCTGTGGAGATTGTTGATCATACCTGGCTGTTGACTAGGTGAGCCACTCCTCCTTTTCTTTTTAAACTGTTATTTAATTCTATATCTAACACTTGCTGTGCATGTTACTTATAAATTCTGTTTGCTTATCAACCTATCAAAAAAAAAAAGAAGTTAAAATTCTGTTTGGTTTTGTTTTTGGGTGTACAGGGCCTTGCTCAGAGTTAGACGAAGATTGTTGAAGAGGCTGTTCTCCATGTTTTTCTAGTTGGTAGCACTATATCGCATTTCATCATCGTGTAATTGGTGAAAGTTTAATATCTGTAGTAGGTGTTCTATCTTGTTACTTGCAAAATTGATACTATGCCATGATTATCCAGTTATGTTATGTTTTGATCTTCGGGTTGTTAAGTCTACTTTTGCCTTTGTACCAAGGATGCTTTTGTGTTTGTATGAAGGATCAATATTATGGTTTTAAGGTTAGTGTTGTGATATAGATAGTGATAGTTGCTTCAGTTATTTGCATTCCCAGATTATACCTTGTCGGAGTTTTTAAGGATCAATATTATGGTTTTAAGGAGCTTATCTCAAAGTTTTTTTTTATTAATTGAACCCCTTGAAAAATGTTTTATTTGATTTTGGGAAAGAGCAGAAAGCAATTCATAAGTCATAGCAGCCTGTTAGATTGCAATGTACCATATTTTCAAAGTTTACTGGCTGGTGCTAAGCTGTGGCATGAGCACCTCATACATACCTCCTCGAATGGCTGTAGTGGAGCTGTATTGCTGGCATACCAGTATATTTGAATAAACGTTCCATTCTGGCCCTAGGGATGGCAGGCGGGGCGGGTTCTATATAAAATCGCAAAATCTCAACCCGCCCCGCATGACACTTCCACCTGCATTCACCCGCACCACAACCACACCTGCATTCACCCGCCCCTTGTTAGTTTGTTTCTTTTTAAATTTTTTTTGGCTAAAATTCTCCATGTCAGTTACGAATTTAAGTTTGGGTGCAAGTGCAACTGCATTGTTTAGTTTCTCCAATATTTTGCATAGGATTAAATGTAGACAAAGTCAAAAAAAAAAAAAGGAATCTAGAAATTAAATTCTTTTAAAAAATATTTGAAGTAGTAAAATTATATAAAAGTAGTAAGTAAACATGAAACTAATTTGTATGCATAAAGACTTGTGATGCTTCCGACACTGATTATCCTTTTAAATTATTTATTATGAATTACTTTTTAAAAAAAAAAATACGAATTAGGCTAATAAATTTAGTTGAATATTATGATATGCAGAAAACCTTTCTAATGCAGTGACAGGAACACTGAAACTTAATATATTAAAAGTAGACCGAAGACATCATTGAAATATTGTAAAAAAAAAATTAAGCTCTAACCCGCACCCGGCCTGCACCCGCGTAAATTTAAATTCTTTTATCTCAACCCGCCCAGCACCCGCTCCATTGCCATCCTACCATTCATCAAAAACACACACGACAACATAGTAAAGTACATCATTTAACACTTCAACTATGATTTGTCTGTATGATTGCTGTTTGCAGTACCCTGTGCCAACCCACAACTAATCATTTATCTGTTGTGAGGCTTCCAAGTTCTATGCACTCGAAATACCATAATAGGAAAAAGTTAGGAGTGTTAGGGGTGAGAGAAACAGATTGGGTAAATGAAAGGGTAACGATTCTACTTTTTTAATTTTAATGGGGTCAAATTGAGTTGGGTTATAATATGTTCAAACAGTGGCTTGCATTTTCCTGGGTTAAGAGTGACACACCTGGTAAGAATCCGTGAAGAATAATTTTCAAGTGTAAGGAGATTAAGGTATAATGCTGAACACGAGCGCTGCTGAAAGCTGCAAAGTCAATAGGTTCAGACATATTTTGATGTTTCTGTCCGTGGTCTGCAGCATGGGCAACAAATATTGCAATAGAGAACTCTTAGCAGGAAGTTCTTGACTAGTTTTGTTCATAACTCAACTTATTGCTTGCTTCGTCTCATTTTCTGGGTTAAGAGCTTGCTTATTTAAGCTCTGCCCAATTTATATAATATTTATGAATCCATGCATTATTACAATTTTTCTTCAATGATAACCTGACGTCTTGGAACACAAAAACATCGAATTTTGATTGACTTCGCTCTAGCAACTAGTAAAAAATCCGTAAGGGAAGTGGACCTTTTGTCAAGGACGATATCGGGGTAAATGTTTTAGATTTTATACAAAAAGCAATCTACCTTGTATAAACATGTTTAAACAATTCTATTGTAGAATTTTCGTATGCTAATTCTTACTAGGGGTGGCAATTTGAGCCCAAACCCATCTAACCGTTCCAACCCGCTCAGAGATTAATGGGTTGGGCTACAAACATTTTAGCTCATGGGTCAATTTGAGCTGAGCCCAAGTCAACCCATTATTTTTTATAGCCCATTCTGACCCATTTAACAGCCCAAATACAACCCATGAAACTCACCCAAAATAAATGATCTCAACCCAATTTATCTAGAAATTTACTTAATTGCCCTTATTTTTTTTTTTTGTATTTTTAATTTTCTGTTCTTTTGTTTTTCTACACCACCCACTCACCCTACCCCTAAACCCCTCCCCCCCCCCCCCCCCCCCCCCCCCCCCCCCCCCCCACCCCCCCCCCCCGCCCCCCCCCCCCCCGCGCAAACTCCCAAAATTTTTTTTTTACTTTTTTTTGTACTCTCAATTGTCTGTTTTTTTATTTTTCTGCGCCACCCACTCACACTACCCCCTCCCCCCCCCCCCCCTCGAGCGCAAACCCCTCAAATTTTTTTTTTTTTTTTTTTTTTTTTTGTAATTTTTAATATTCTATTTTTTTATTTTTCTGCCCCCCCAACCCCAACAAACTCCCAAATAAATTTTTACTTTTTTTTTGTATTTTTCATTTTTTATTTTTTTTGTTTTTCTGCACAACCCTCCCCCCCCCCCCCCCCCCCCCCCCAAACTCCCTCAAATTTTTCAAAAAAACTTTTTCTTATAATTTCAATTTTCTGTTTTATGTGTTTTTCTGCACCCACCCAACCCACCTCAATCCCCACCACCCCGATCCCACTCCACCCGTAAAATATTTTTCAACTTACATATTTTAAGGTAAAAGTTTTTTTTTTATGCAAGATGGGCATGGTTCTAAAACATGGGTCAAGTTGGACGGTTGGGTTATGACCCATTGTTTAGCCCATCTTGACCCAACCCATCTTGACCCAAGTACACTTTGGACTGAGTTGGGCAATGACCCATTTAGCCCAACCCGCCCATTTACCGCTCCTAATTCTTACTTCATTTTAAGAGGTCAGAATGCTGTATTAATTGGATTTTTTTTTCATCAGTTGTGTTTATCCATTCTCTTCCTTCACAAATGTCCTTTATACACTGTTACCCGCTAAGAATTAAGATGTTCAGTGAGTTAATGTCCGGTCTTCAATCAATTTCAAAGTTATGTTTGAATATTCAACTTGGTAATACCATATTTTTCATAGAGTAGATTAGAAAACATTTTCATCTTGGTCGGGATACTTTATTTGGCAAGAATCGACACCTGAAACGACATTGATTAATTTGTTAAATGAAGCAGCATGATGTGAGACGAAAGAGACATGTTTGTTTCTAATGATCGATTGACACGTCAAAAAGTCTAAAAATCCAAAACGATTTTGTCCCACCTCACACACATTACCTAGTTTTGTCTTCAATAGGAGTAAAAATAATGCCTCCCTCCTTATCCAATATCTTCAATTGCATTGTTGACCAGATTAATCTCTAATGGATTTGGACTAAAGATAAAAGCTGACAGTACAGAACACAAACTTGATCAAGATATTGCTCCTTTCCTCCAAAAACCAATGGCAGCTCAGAGTAGGATAATTATAGTTTCTTCTTTTTAAAAGATTTGAGAGTATTTTATAAGTGGAAGAAGATTTTTTTGGGAAACACCATGAGCAACAACTTCAAAGAATAGTCCTTGAAGACAATTTTATTTGCTAAGAAAAACTTGAAGATGATATTTGGTTGCTGTTTGAAAAAATCGAATAAGGAATTTCGGGACAACTTTTTCATCTAGCTCCAAATTGGACCTAGGTGTTTCTCTAAAAAGAAAAAAGAAAAAAACATATAGGCGAAATACATAAACGTCCCTTTAAGTTGTCCCCAACGATCAAACAAACACCTCAACTGACCCCTTTACCATTTAGATACCTCAAGAGCCTACTAAGTGTGTCAAGTAAACACATGTTGCTTATGTGACATGTGTGTGTTTGCTAACAACATTTTGGGCGCATGAAATCATTTTTTCAATAGTCAAATCAGAAAACTAAAAGAAATAATTTAATTATGAGAATTTCAAAAGAAATAATCTGCTTGAGTGCAGGGGCGTATCCAGCTCTTAGAGTATGGGTTCACGTGAACCCATGCTGCTTTCCCTGAATCACGTATAACAATGTTATATTTTTTCAATTACTTAAATATGTGTGTGCACCCATGCTCAAGGACTCCTATGGTACAATAATTATTCGGTGCACCTTTACAAGTAAAATTTGTGGTTCAAAACCTACTCCAGACGGTCTTGCTTTCGACATTAGTATATATATATATGTGTGAAAATCAATAAAATTTCAAAAAATATAAATTTTGAATCTATAATCTTAAAAGTTTAGTGGGTCCAGGGTAAAAGACTGAAGTTAAACCCGTCAAATGAGAATTTTAGATCCATCTCTTTATAATAGTGCACCCATCCTCTTTAAATCATGGATCTGCCTCTGCTTGAGTGCTTTGTTAAGCACTTCACTATCGGGTGATGAAATTCTGAATCTGAGAAGAATTTAATCCTTGCCATTGCTCTTGACTTCGAATCTGGAATGAAGTCTTCGAAACCCATCTTAAATAATGAAAATATGAGTTCGCATTCCATCGTTCTTCACCGCTCAACTTTTTGTCTAAGAAGCTGGGTTGTTTTGATCTGAAAATTGGAGGTCGAAATTGATTGGATATTCGAAATCTTTGTTGAAAGCTTCTTTGTGAAGCGGAATCTACAGATTTAGGTCTTAGTTGGGTCTTAGTTAGAATCTGGGCCAAAGAACAACTTCAGTGGCCAAAAAATCCTTCATCCGCCCCTAGCCCAAGTCAAGCCCACCCTGTCCAGTCCCCCCTTATTAACAAAACGACGCCGTTTTGTTTAATGCCAATTCCAGTCGTCGATCCCTTTGGATCTAACGACTCCGAACTCCCCACTCTTTCCCATTTTACTGTCCAAACACCCCCCCAAACCCTAGAGACCACCCTCATTTCCCTCATCTCCTCTCTAAGCTTAACCCTAGCCGCCCCCAAATCCCTCACTCTCACCGGCCGGCGGCCATACTTCTAAACACCTTCAAACCTTCACCAGATAATCTTCACCTTCCCCTCTCCTCAAATCCCACAGTCATTCCCTTCGAATAGCCGTATATTTGTCTGAATCTAA